CGCAGGGCAGGGCTTCCGGGCGGGCGAACGGGCTGGCTCGCTGCTGCCGCCGCCTGGGGAGGGGCTCCGGGGCGTGTGCCCCTGCTGAGCGCCTCCCTCTCCCCCCCAGGCATCGCCCACCCTCGGGGGCCTGGTGAGCATCAGCAACGCCCGGCTGGGCTCCATGAAGACCCGGTGAGTGCTGGGACGGGCTGCTCCTCCCGGTGCGGGAAGCTGGGTGGGCAGACCGCTGCCCACCCAGCCGCGCACTTCCCTGTCCTCGGAGCGGGTGCCCACGCGTCCCATCAGCCCCAGCAGGAAGAATCGGGTTCGGGAGCGGGTGGCCAGGACACCCGCAGGGCCCCGGCTTGTGCTGGTCACCTGCGGCACAGGATCCGTTCCTCTGAGCCGCCCGCGCCCTTTGGAAGCAGTGGGAGGCCCGCGATGCCCAGCTTCGGCGTCCTGAGCCGTGGCGCCGGCCCTGGGTCCCGGCTCGGTGTGGTGGCAGGGCCAGGGCTGCTCCCAGGCCCCGTCCCTGGCTCTGGCGGGGAAGGCCCTGCAGCTGCCGGCCAGTGCTGACCGTGCCAGGCGGCCTGGGCCAGGGGTCCCGCTCTCCCCGTGCCCGTGGGAGGCTGCTCTGCGCCCCCACGCCCGGCGGCTGGTGCACCAAGGGGAGCGGCTCCTGCTGCAGGAGGCGGCGCAGTGCCTTCGGGGCCGGCAGCCGTGGGCAGGCATTTGCCCAGTGCCTTTCATGGCGGTCCCGGCGGGGGTCCCTGGTCGATCTTGTGGCAGCGAATTCCAAAGCTTGACCTTCCTTTGCGCTGACCTGAATTTCCCGGCCGTCAGCGCTGTGGGAACACCCTGCTGGGCTCCAGGCCTGTCAAGCTTTTCCTCTTGGTTTGCACAGTTCACCATCTTATGTCCCTCCATGGTGCCCTTCGCGGAGCCCCCCGAACCCCCCGTGGTGCTGCATCGGGCCTCTGTCTTGGAGTCCAGGGGGCACCATGACCCCGAGTTGTGCGGGCCCCTGGCCTCCCAGTTGGCGGCCCTTTCTCAGTGGGGCAGGCACGTGGGGCGGCCTCCTGTGGGCACATGTTGGGTGGCTGGGAGGTGCCAGGAGGGGTGCGGGTCTGGTGCCCAGGCGGCGGCCCGACCCGGTGCTACGCTCCTATCCTTTCTGCCGTCCGCCCTGCAGGTTTGAGGGCCTCTGCCTCCTCTCTCTGCTGGTGACCGAGAGCACCACCGAAACGTTCAGCCAGAACTGCCTGAGCTGGCTCCGGAGCCTGCAGCACCTCATCCAGGTGGGGGGGCGGCTGGCCCACAGGGCCACACAGGAGGCCCTTTCTGTGGCCCGGCAGGTGCCCAGCGGCCTGGGGGCTGCTGGCTGTGCCTGGGAAGGCTGACGGGAGTCCGCACCCCCTCCCCGCCTTCTCCCCGCCAGTCCCAGGATCCGGCACCCACCATGGAGCTGGCTGTCCTCGTCCTGCGGGACCTGCTGGAGTGCTCCTGCCAGCTCCCGGAGCTGGCCCGCGACATCAGCACCAACCACGTCCCCGGGCTCCTCACGTCTTTGCTGGCCCTCCGGCCGGAGGTGAGACCTTCGCCGCGGTGGGGACCCCTTGCGGCAGCCGCCGGCCCTTCCGGGCCCCACGGCGGCGCCCCCTTGCTGAACCCCCCCTCTTCCGCTTCCAGTGCCAGCTGTCTGCCTTGGAAGGGAGCAAAGCGTGCATGATGTTCTATCCCCGGGCCTGTGGCTCCTTGCGAGTAAGTGCGCGCCTGTGTGGAGGCGGCGGCGGCGGGACGGAGCGGGCGGCCCGCGGCCCCTCGGACCCCTTCTGACCGGACTTGCTCCCTCCAGGGTAAACTGGCCGCGTATTTCCTCTCCCGGGTAGATGCCGAAACGCCGCAGGTGCAGCAGGTAAGGCCCCTTGGCCCCCCGTCCGTTCCCGGCCCCTGGGCTGGAGCAGGCTCACTGCCCCCTCGGCCACCTTCCTTGACTGGAGCCCCGGGAGTGTCCGAGTCGGGGGGGTTTCCTCAGCGGGCCTGTTGCTGGCTGAGAAGTACCGGGGGGGGGGGCTGCGTTCTCCCCGCGCCCTCCCGCCCTCGGCCGGGCCCCTCCCAGGCCTGGCGTGCTGCCCCACGGCCTCTGCCTTGCCCCCCCAGCTCGCCTGCGAGTGCTACGCCCTCCTGCCCTCGCTGGGTGCCGGCTTCACCCAGGGGCTGAAGTACACCGAGTGCTGGGAGCAGCAGGCCCACTGCCTCCTGGCCACGCTGCACAGCCTGATGGGGACCCTCTACGAGGGCGCGGAGACAGGTGCGTGCGGGAGACAGGTGCGTGCGGCCGGCCGGCTGGGGAGCCGAGCACGGGCGGAGCTGCCTGGGCCGTGATCCGCAGCAGGGAGGCGCTTTCCGGGAAGCGGCGAAAACAAGGCGAGGTGGCGTGGCCGGCCAGCCCCTCCTCCGTGGCAGCTGGAGTCCCGAGCTCCCTGGTGCTCGCCTTTACAACCGGTTCCCTTGGGAGCAATTACGTTAACTGCCTTGTTGATGAGCTTGGGCCTTTTGGTAGTGATTCCACACCGAAGTCATTTGCACGCTGTTAAAGCGTGGCAGGGAACGAGGCAACCGGTTTGCTTGATTCAGCCCGGCCATGTGTTTTGCTCGCTGCCAGCCGGCTCGCTCTGCCCGACCCGCTCTAACAACTTGAGTCACGTGCTTAAAAATATAGCAGCGTGGTTATCCGATCCTCGTTTGCTTTTTGAAGCGGTGCTTTTTCATTGTGGGAACTTCTTTTATCCCACACTTTCTGGAATTTTCTGGATTAGCTGGCAGTCTGGCTTAAGCAGGACTGCAGGGAGAGATCAAGGGCAGACAAACATAGAAGCGGAGCGAGTCAGAAGGGGCTCCCGGCCCATCTAGTCTGACCCCCAGCTCCAGCCGGCTCCTCCGCTCACGGCATGCAACCAGTGAGCTCTGATGCGCCCTTTTCCCCGCCAGACCCCCTGCATTACGAAGGGCCCGGCATGGAGATCCCACTGCCAGCACCAGAGGAGGGCGAGACAAATTTCGTCCTCCACCTGAAGCAGCGCTTCTCGGGTTTGGCAAAATGCCTCTGCAGGATGCTCAGGTGAGGCCCCGGCCCCCGCCTCCGTCACACAGACCTTGTGCGGGGGCTTTGGATCACCCGCTGCCTCGTTTGTTTTTTCAGCAACGAGTTTGTGGCCCCCGTGACGGTGCCAGTCCAGGACATCCTGGATTTCATTTGCCGCGCCCTGGATATCTCCATGAAAAACATTGTGAGTGGCTTGAGACAGGGAGCCCCGCCAAAGGTCGCCTTCCGCAGCGCCGGAGGACTCTCCGAGTGACTGCCCGGCCCTGCCGGGGCGGGAGGACCCTCCTGGGCTCGGGGTGCTCGAAGGAGCGTCTCCCCGGGCAGCTGCTTCGTGAGCCTGGGCTGACGCGGCAGCGCTACCCTGCCTTTGAGCCGTCGGGTGCTGCACATTCGCGACCTGACGGACGCGGCCTGGGAGCCCCCAGCGGAGCCGCTTCTTGGCTGCAGCAGCAGCTCTCATGGCATCGCGGGCTCCGGCCGTCAGCCACGGCGTGGGGCTGATTCCTGGGCAGGCTTGGCGAAGGGCCACACTGCTGGGAACGGTCCTGGGGTGCTCTCAGGAGGCTGCGGGGTCCCCTGGGAATTTTACTGCAGACACACCTCTTCCCAGCTTGTCCAAGAACTTCCCGCCACCCGTTTAAAGATGAGACGAAGATCTGCAGACGCACTGATACTTTTTATTAGTTTTTTATTTTAAGACGTGCTGGAACAGAACACGTCAAAACGCGGTGTCTGAGGTCCTCTAGGAAGCCCGGGGGGCTGGCACAGGGAAAGGCTTCTGCAAAGCGTGGGTGGGCCGGGGCGTTCTCCACGGGATGTGTCGGTCCTCTGCTGATGGTCTTCCCCTCCCTGCCCCGGCCCCCTCTAGAGCTGGTTTGGTGACGGACCGCTCCGAATGCTGTTCCTGCACTCCGTCCACCTGGAGAGCCTGGATCTGCTGTTTGCACTCATCTTGGCGTGAGTCGGGGGGGGCGGCCAGGGCCCACCACGTTCCCGGGGCGGGGGCCTCCCGTCCTGACCAGCCTGCCCTCGTCTTGCTTCTTTCCGTCGCAGGTGCGGCCCTCGGCTGGTGCGCTTCGGAGGCACCCTGTGCCGCCTGTTCCCCCAGGTCCTGACCGCGTGGAGTGCCGGGCGGGATCTCGTCCCCGCGGGGCAGGAGCGCCCGTACAGGTTTGCCTCCGGGGGTGCCACGAGGGGTGTGGGGGAACTGCCTGGCCCCGGGCACAGACTCCCTGCCCTGCCCCTGGCGAACGGCCCCTGCCCTCGGCGCGGGAATCTGCCCGTCTGCCGGAGCCCTTCTCGGAGCTGCTGTGGCAGGGCGTGAAGGAAAGCGGGGGCCTCCCCCCGCCTGGCTCGGGTGCCGCGACGGGCGCCACAACGGGCGCCGCTGCTCTCCTCCGGCTGCCTGATTCCTGTCGCCCGGAACGGCGTGGGAGAGGGCTGGCCTCTTCGTGGACAGCCGCCATCCTGTTTGCGCATCAGCTGGTGCGCCTGGACAGCAAAGGCCGATTTAGGGGCGGTGGTTCCTGCAGCGCCCCGAGAGCAGAGCAGCGGCTTTGGTGGCGACGCAGGCCGGCACGTCGCCACTTCTCCCTCTTTGCGAGCATGTGCTTGCGCCCGCGCCCCCTCGTCCTCGCCGGAGGACACGCTCCGTGCCAGATGTGGCGGCCAGGGTGCTGCGTGGGCAAGTGCCGGCAGCCTGACCCCCCCCTCTTGTCTCGCCCCAGCGCCGTCCGCACGCGGCTTTACCAGGTCCTGGACCTGTGGGCGCAGGTGGCTGGGGCGGCGTCGGGGCTCCTGCAGGGCCACGGGACGCAGAGCGAGGCCCTGCTGGGGCACCTGCTCAGCGACATCAGCCCCCCCACGGACACGCTCAAGGTGAGCCCCCCCGCACGCATTCCCCGCCGGCCCCCGGCCCCTTGGGGCGGCCCTGGCGAGCGGTCTCCTTCCTGCCTTGCAGCTGCGCGAGAGCGCCCCCGGCCCCGACCGGCGGCCCAGCGCCCCCAAGAAGCCGAAGCTGGCCGGCCTGGGGCCCCTGCACCACAAGCACGACCCGCGGGCCAACAGCGACGTGTGCCTGGCCGCACTGCAAGGTCAGGAGCCCCTCGGTGCCGCAGGGAGGCGCGGGTGGGCAAGCCGAGAGCAAGGCGGAGCCCCAAGCAGACCCCCCCCTCGCCGTCCTGCTCTCGCTTCATCCTCTGGGGTGGAAGGGGGCAGGCAGGCAGAGAGGGTTGGGGGACGGCCCTGTCGGGGGGTTCCAAGGCCGGGACTGCGGGGCCCTGCAGTCCCGGCGGTCCTGGCAGATGAGCCCCCCTCCCAGTCACGCCCTTCTCTCGCCTCAGCTGGGCACGGCGGGCCCGCATCTACCAGCCGTGCGGAGGGGGCAGCGTGGCTCGCATCCCGGTGGGGGTTTCCCACGCAAGGCGGCTTGAGCCCTGCCGGAGCGGAGCACTGGGCGAGAGAGGCCTGTGCCCGCCCGCCCGCCGTGGCTCTTCCTGGTTTCCACCCTGCCGGTGCATTTCTTGCGACGGTGGAGGGACAGCCTGCGTGCCCGTCCGTGCGGCTTGCAGGAGGGCGAGAGGATGGAGGTCCCCCAGCCAGCATCCGCCCCCGCCCCTTCCACGAGCGAGTGCCACACAGCTTCTCCGGAGGGGGTGGCTGGCCCGGGCTGTGGCGCCTCCCGGACCCCCCAGAGCAACTGCCCGCTCTTCCAGGCCTGAGCCGGATCGTCCTGCTCGGCGGAACCCTCATCAAGGAGCAGCCCCACAAGGTGAGCGGGCGGCAGCCCCCTCTGCCAGCCGGGGCGTGCTTGGGGTGCCTGCCTCTGGGCGGGAGTCTGGGGTGCCCGTGGTGAGACTGGGAGGGAGCTCGGTGCCTGGGCACCTGGCGGGCAGGTAGGGGGTGCGGCGTGGGAGGTCTGCCGGTCTGGTCCCGCCTTTCCCGGGCCCCTCGCTGGCGTTCTCCCGGCACAGCCCTCAGGCGGGTGCCGGCTGGGCTGCCCCAGGGGCCCCTGCCGGAGAGCGGGCCGTGAGGAGGCCTCCCGGGGGGCCCTGGGTCGCTCTCACCCGGCAGCACCCCGGGGACTTGAGGGGGGAGTCCCTCCCGCAGCCCCCGCCTCCCCGCGGCCGCCGGTCCCCCGGCTTGGCGGGCGCAGCGGCCTCGTGCGGCGCAGCCCCCGAGCCCCCTGCTTGAACCCCACGCAGAGGCTGCAGGAGCTGGTGATCCCGCTGCTGATCCGGCTGGGCCAGGCCGAGCCCCTGCCGGGGTCCCCCTACGCGAGCGCCGCCTGCCGCCGGGAGCTCTTCCGCCTGCTGCTGGCCCTGGTGCTGGCCCCGGCCCCCGCCTGCCCGCCGCCGCTGCACTGCGCCCTGTGGCTGCTGAAACAGGGCTGCGCCGACCCCAGTCTGCAGGTGAGGCCTCCGTCCCCGTCCCCGTCCCCGTCCCGTGGGCTGGTGCTGCGGGGCCCGGCCCGGCCGGGCGCGCCCACCCTGCTGCTCCCGGGGCAAGTGGCCCGGTCCTCCGGGGCTCCTGCCCGGTGGCTGCCCACGTCGGGGTGTCCGGGGCGCCTCCTCAGGGCGGGTGGCCGCCTCTCTTGCAGGTGTCGTCCTTCTGCTCCGAGGCCCTGGTCGTCTGCAACGCCCTGCTGCACCCCCGGGTGCCGGCCCTCCAGGTCCCGCTGCCCGGGCCGCCGGCCCCGCCGCCGGGCTCCTCGTCCGAGATCTCCCCGGCCACGGCCTCCCCGTTCCGCTCGGCGCCCCCGCTGCCCTTCCCGCCCCCCCGGCTCCCGCCCCCTGCGTCGCCCCCGGCGCCCCCCTCCGCAGCCCCCCCGGCCGGCTCCCTGGGCCTGCCCCTGCCCCCGCTGGCCCTGGCCCAGCTGCCGCCCCGCCTGGCCCCCGAGGAGCCCGCCGTGCTGCCCTCCCCCGGGGGCGCGGCAGAGGCCGCCGCACTGGCCGCGGGCGCCAAGCTGCGGCGCTCCGTCTTCATCCACTACGACAAGGAGGAGGAGGAGGACGTGGAGATCTCGCTGGAGAGCGACTCCGACGACAGCGTGGTCATCATGCCCAAGGGGCAGCTGGGCAGGGGGCCCGGCGGCGCCGGCGCCGTGGCGGCAGTGGCGGCAGCGCCGGCCCCTCTCCCGCCGCCGCCCCCGGCCCCCCCCCGCCGCCCCCACCCCCCCCCCTCCGGTCGCCGAGGAGGTCCCCCTGGAGCCCCCCGCCCCCCTGGCCCTGCCGCTGGGGGCTCACACGCCGCCCGCCGTGGCCACCGCGGCCGCCGCGACCCTCCCGCCCTCCCCCGTGCCCGTGGCGGCTGAAGCGCTGCTCCCGGCCCACGCCGAGGAGGACCCCACCGTCATCAACATCAACAGCAGCGAGGAGGACGAGGAGGAGGACGAGGACGAGGAGGAGGAGGACTTCCCCGAGGACGAGTACTTCGACGAGGAAGAGGAGGTGGGTGCTCGCAGGGTGGGCTTCCCTCAGCACCCCCGGGCCAGTGGCGGCCTTGGAGCACCCCCCACCTGGCCCCCGGCTGCGTCCCCCAGCCTCCCCTCCCCTCTGCGCCCCTCTCCTGGTGCACTTGCTCTGGGGGAGGCGGGGGGCCCCCGCTGGGTGCTGGCCCTTGGCCTCAGGGGCCCCCTCGGAGACCGCCTGCCCCAGGGGAAGCTGGGGCTGGGGCTGGGCCTGGGCCGGCCCGGTGGGCGCCTGCTGGGCGTGTGGGTAAGGGGGTTCTCGCTGCCTCCGTCTCTCTGACCAGGAAGAAGAGTTTGAGGAGGACGAGGGGGAGTTTGATGAGCTGGAAGAGGAGATAGAAGAGATGGATGAGGAAGAGGAAGAGGAAGATGAATTTGATGAAGAGGAGTGCATGACAGAGGAGGAGGAGGAAGAGGAGGAGGAGGAGGAAGAGGAGGAGGAAGAGGGCCTGACGGAGGAGGAGGAGGAGGGGGCGCCACCGCTGCCCACTCTGCCCCACGGGAACGGTGGAGAGCCCCCGGCGCTGATGCCCATGAAAGAGGAGCTCCCCAAACTGGTGGGGGAGGAGGAAGGCGGGGAGGGGGAGGAGGAGGAGGAGGGGGCCGGGCTGCTCATGGAGGTGGAGGAGGAAGCCTTCCACGCCCCCGAGGACGGCAGCGGCGGGCAGGAGGGCGAGGAGGAGGCGGCCGCGGGGACACGCGAGGTGGGCAGGACCGCGGGGGACGCGCTGCTGAGGAAGGCGGAGGAGCCCCCCGTGCCCACGAGCGCGGTGGAGGAACTGCTGCCCCCGCCCCTGCCCCTGCCCCCTTCCCCTGCGCAGGAGCCCCCCACCCTGCCCGCCACCGCCTTCACGGATCCGGAGGAGCTTGCGGAGGAGCAGGAGCGGCCCATGGCCGGGGGGCCCCCCTTTGCTGCTGCCCCCCAGGATCCGGAGGGGGAGCGCGGCCCCGCGGGGCATGCCGGAGGACCCGCAGAAGCCGGCCCCGAGGCCCGGGCCCCGCAGGGCGAGGCGGAGGAGCAGCTGCCGGCGCTGGGCGGGCACGTGCCGGAGGAGGAGCCGGAGGTGAGAGCCTGGGGCGGGCAGGCGGGCGGGCGAGCGGGCTCCCCGGCCACCCCGGGCTGCCCCATGGCGTCCGCCGCTGCCTGGCGGCACTGGAAGCCCCAGCTCTCGTGCCCGGTCCTCGGCCTCCCCGCCCCGGCGAGCGGTGCTCCTGCAGCTCTGGCCGAGGGGGAGAGCGACCCACAGCCGGGACCGCTCGGGCTGGGTGCGGGGCGGCGGTGGGCGGGTGGCCCCCGGGAAGGCGTGAGCTGAGGCGCCCCGCGGGCAGGCAGGCCGGCGGGTGTCTCCCTGCGGGGGCGTGCGACCTGCCGGCGGTCTGGGATCACCCGGGGGGCTTCTTGGTTCTTCCTGGGCCGTGGCCCATGGAGGTTTACCAGGGGAACCTAACCTGCCCCCCTTCCAAGGAAACGCCGAGACCCTTCGGAGGCCTTAAAGGGGTTCTGCTTCCGGAGAGGCTGGAGTCCTCCCGGCGCAACGCGTGCCCAGCAGCTTCGCCCCCTGCCGGGCCGACACAGAGGCCGACACAGAGGCCCTTCCACCCCTCTTGTGTGTGTGTGTGCGCGCGCGCGCGCGTGTAACACGTGTTGACAGCTGTCGATAGATGTTGTGTGTGGAGCCGTCTGCCCCGCAGGCGCCCTGCAGGCATGCATGCGGCCCGGCCCGGCCCGGCCTGTGGGAGCCCAGGGCTGTGGCGTCCATGGCGGAGCCGGTCCCCTTGCCCTGGGCCCCCCTCGCGCCTTCTGCCTTTGACGCTCCCGGCCCGGCTGCCTTCTCCACATGCGCCTGCGATGCTCCCGTTTTGTCTTGCCTGCTTCCGGGAAGCGCCCGGGACCCACCCGCTGGTTGCCGGCCAGCCCGGGGTGTTCCCAAACTGCTCCGCCAGCAGCGTGGTTGGAACGCGTCCGTTTTCCCCGCCGGCTTTCTCCCTGCCGGCTTTCACACCAGGCATGCTGATCGGAACACGCGAGCGGCCTGATCTCGGCTTGGGTCCGATGACTTCGCACGTCGCAAACGTCTGGCTCCTCCGTCTTGTCTCCTCGCAAGTCGCTGCTTGTCCCCAAGGCAGGTTGGCCTCGGGCCAGCCAGGTGCCGGGCATGCCGTTCCTTTCGGGACCATCTGTGTAGCTGCTCGTAAGCCGGACCATCCGAGGCTTTGACTGCAGCCTGCAAAGCACAGAAACGCAGGCTGGTTTTCTTCGAAACTCCCTGGTGCGCTCCAGCGGCCGGTGCGTCCTGTGGCGCGATCCGGGTGCGGCTGCTTTTCGGAGCCCAGCTGAGCGCCCGCATTTCTCGCTCCACACGGGGCAAGAGCCTTCCTTGCGGCACCTGGAGCGTCGCTCCGCCTCCGCGGGAAATTTGCGCAGCGGCCCCATGGCCGGTGCACTCCTGCGCATCTCCCTTCTCGGGGATCGGAATCCACATCGAATCGAATGCTTCCAGTTCACGGACCTTTGTGTGTTTCCCATGTGCGTCGGCATTTTCTTCGGATCGGAACCGATTCCTTCCCTGCAGCTTGGCTGCTTCTGCCGCTGCTTTACTCCAGCCACTTCCCGAGCGGCTTTCATTGCGCTTTCCAACGCGGAGCCTCCTCATCACAGGATTCCTCTTGGAAGGTGCCTGCCGTCCTCACATTTCTTCTGAATCGCTCTTCTGGACGCGCTTTCCGTTTTCTCCCCATTTTCTTCCCGGTGGCCTTTTCGCATGCCTTTGATTTCTTGGATCTGCTGGAAAAGGCTCCCGTTTCGTTGTTCTCAGCTCTTTCTTTGCACTGGCCGTTGTGATTGTTCTTTTCACCTTGGCATGATGGCCGCTCCAAAGTTGCATTCCAGGTCCAGACCCTCCTGCCCCCTTTCCTTCTCGCCTGCTCTCAGCAGTTGTGCTTCGGGCACCCACCTCGGTTTCTCCTTCTTGCCACAGGAATCGTCCCTTGGCATCCCTCCCTAATCAAGTCTGGTTTCTGTCCATAGTTCTGGGTCGTGGCAAACTGAGTTCCGTCTTAAATCTGTTCTTTATGTGGACTTTAAAATTTTCAGGAATGCTCCTTAAGTTGTATGCTCTCACTGTGCATTTGTGAGTGAAGTTTTTCCGCTTTCCTCTGATTTTTGATTGCTAAAATCACCGGCTTCACAGAATTCTTTCAGCTGTTCACTGCTTTTTCTCGGGCTGCTGGACCAGATTCTCCCAGCATTTGATGCAGCTCCATGTCCTACTTTTCCTCTGCCCTTTGAGGAGCCGCATGTCTTCTCTTCCTCTTGGACACCTGCCTGAAAATGTCCAGTGCCCGCCTTCAGCAGATGCTCTCGGTCTTCCACGAAGTTTGGCCGCTGTGTGCTCCAGCGTGGCGTCGCAGCCCCCCCCTCGTCTCTGCTCTGGGTTGCCTCCGCAAGAGAGCGCGCCGTTCCTTCTGGGCTTGCCATTGCCAGAGCAAAACTCTGCCTGGCCTTAGCTTTCCCCGCGTGGCGCAGCGCTTGGCCGTGCGCTTCCTGCTTCCTAGCTTCCGCTTTGGCTCGGTTCGTGCATCGCGTGTTCCAGGTGTGGGGCTCGTTCCTCTCGCCCCCGCGCAGGCCACCCACTCGACGTGCAGCTCTGCCCCAGCGGCGTCCCGCCCCAGAGCGCTGCGCGAGCTTGTCCTCCGCGCTCCCTCGCCGCTGGGGGTGCCGTCCGGCCCGGCCCCCCTGCTGGCTCCATGTGGGGCTGCCTCCTCGTAGGGGTTTCGGCTAAGCCATGCGCAGACGTGGCTCCCCCCGCTGCCCCCTGCTTCAGGAATTCCCGCCCCCGCCCGCCTTGGGAGACCCTCCCCCTCCGCTCCGGCCCCCGGGGCCTCCACGTCGGCCTCGCGCTCGGCTCCCCGCTCCATGTGTGGATGTGCCGCCCAGAGGGGGCGGGCGATGCGGTGCAGCCGAGCGGCTCGCCTTCCGGGCAGGTGCGCCAGCTTGCCCTCGGGGGGCCCGGGCGTGTGCCAGACGGAGTGGCCGTCCTGGGAGGGTGGCCGCGCCAGCGGTAGGTGAGCCAGCTCCCTTCTCCCCTCGCAGGCTGCCGCGGTGGACGAGACGGAAGCCATGCTGGCTGACTTTGTGGACTGCCCGCCCGATGAGGAGAGGAGCCCCCCCGAGGCGTCTTCCTGAGGCGGCTCCGCCGGGGCTTTGAGAGGCTGAGAAGAGGACTCTGCCCAGCCCAGAAGGGCTGCCTCCCCCCCCCCCCCAGGGCACTCATTTGTATTTTGGGTTTGGGCTGGGAATGTTTTTACATTACCAAAAATGTTCAATAAAGATTTCCCTGCGAGCACATGAGCCAAGCGGCAGAGGCGCGTGGCACGTGGGGTCTGGTGGGGCACGGGAGCCAAGGCCCGCCATGCCGGGGGGCTGCTTGGCAGGCATGGGGGGCCTCCGGGGCTGTGCAGGCGCCCCTTTGCCTGGCCAGGGTGGGCGAGTGCTGCTGCCCCCAGCCCCCCCTGCAAGGGCTGCTCGGCAGAAGGGGCGCCACTGCACAGTGTGGGGGGACCCTCTTTCGGAAGTTGCCCTTGGGAGGCGCTCGATGGTGGGACTGGAGCATCGAGCCTGGATCTGGTAGATCACTGGCCGAGCCCAAGCAGCCGTGTGATGTGGCTGCAACGGGACGGCCCTCGGGGGGGCTCGGCTGGAACCCTGCACCGAGCAGGGTCGGGCCCGGTGGTCTCCGGTCCTTGCAGCCGGGTGCCGAGCGGCTGGGCAGGCCCTGCTCCCCCAGGCGCCTTCGGCCTTGGCAGGGGCCTTCCCTTCATTCCCCAGATGCCACATTGAAAGGCCAGGGCAGGGCTTCTCCCCCATAGTTGGGGGGGGGGTGCTGCTAGGACTTGGGTGCATGAACGGGAGGCCTGGGGCTCTTGGTTATGCCCCCGGGGTACCGGCTTCGGCGTAAGGGAAGGCCCAAGGGCCAGGAGGGGGCGCTGCCCTAGCCTACGGAAATCCGCCCGTCGGGCCCCGTGTCCATCTGGCCAGCGGTGGGGGGAGATTGCCTCGTGCTTGGCAGTGGGGCAGGGCGAGGGTCCTGTTGGCGGGCTGCCCACCCTGCCAGGGAGATCTTGGGCACAGCGCCAGCGCTCAGGGCCCAGTCCGCTGGTTTGGGGGGCACGGAGACCCACGCCAGGGCTGCCACATGGGGCAGTGCGGATTTCCAGGGGCTCCACGGCAGCTCTGGACTCCCAGTTTTCCCGCCCAGCCCGGGGAGGGTGATCCAAAGGGGGGCATTCTTGTGGCCAGAATGCCGGGCCGAGACGGGCACCGAGGGCGGCTGCTCTCCTCCGCATGGCGAGGGACCCAACGGGCAGCGGAGCAAACCGGGAGGCAGCCTGAGCGCAGAGAAGCGAGCCAGGGAGGCGAGGCTCCGGCACCTAGACCCGGATCTGCTCAGGGGAGGCTGCGGATGTGCCTGGCTGCCGGAGAGGAGTCTGGGCGCACGGCTGGGGAGCTGGGTCCCCTGGCCAGGCCGAGGCAGCGTGACCGGGCTGTGCTCCCTGCGGCGGATCAGGGCCTCGCCTGGGGTCCTGCAGCCCCCCGTGTCCCTGAGGCCCGGGGTGCCTCCCACCAGCTCCGGCCGGCAGTCCAGCTGCTCCCGTCTGGCCAGGGAGAACCTGCTTTCCGCCACCGGCTTCTGGCAGTTCCCAGGCCGTGTGGCCGCCATTCCTTCATGCGCAGCTGCCCTGGAAGGCTGCTCGGAAGCTGCCGCTTGCGCAAGACGTGGCATCCGGCTGGAACCAGGAGGTCTGGCCCCACGCTGTTCCCGGGCCAGACGCAAGGCGCTGCTGCGGTTACCCTTTAGTGGCGCGAGGCCCCGAAGCCCATAGGACAACCCCTCTGCCCCTTCTCCCCTTCCTCAGAACCGCCTCCAGGGGAAGTTAGAAACGGAGTGAATCGGAAGAAGCCTCCCGGGCCATCTAGTCTGACCCCCGGCTCCAGCCGGCTCCGCTCACGACATGCCCACCATGTGCATGTCCAGCCTGTCCTTGAACACCTGCACCGATGGGGCCTCAGCCACCTCCCGTGGGAGCCCATCCCGCACCCTCGGGGTCCTGACTGTCGGGAAGTGCTTCTTGGCACCCAACAAAATTGGACCTGGGTTCCCTGAGCTTGGCTCCATGGGAGCGCGTCCTGCCTTCCTCTGCAGGGGAGAACAGGTCTCTGCCCACCTCCGTGTGACACCCTCTCACATGCCTGTATGTTGCCCACAGTTCCCCTCTGAGTCTCCTCCAGGCTGAAGAGACCCAGTTCCCTCCGTCCCACCTCATACGGCTTTCCCTGCAAACCGGCCACCATCCTAGTGGTCCTTCGCTGCACCAATTCCAACCATGCAATGTCCCTCTTGTAATGGGCACACCAGTCATAGAGTGGCAGTAATCC